CCCAGCACACAGCCTGATGCACAGAACACTCTCAATAATGTTGCTTAGATAAAATTAGGCATCACCATGGAGCATTATTAAAAAAAATTTTTTTGAAACTTACATTATGAAGTGTCACAACCCTACTCAATTCAATCCAAAATGCCACCCTGGACCCAAGTAGCATTTCTATTGTGGAGAATCAGTGACAGTAAAGGTCAAAGCTAACCTCAAGTCTGTTTGTGAACTCACCACCCACAAGGGAAAGCAGGAGTATTCATTGGGTGGAGATGAGAATGGTCTTGATCCTGTTGTTCTGGATGCATATGGGCCTCTCTTCTCCTCCACTCCAGGATGCTGACATTTAAAGCGATAGCTCAGCTCTTCATCTTGGGCTGCACGTGGTGTCTGGGAATCCTGCAGGTGGGTCCAGCTGCTCACGCCATGGCCTATCTCTTCACCATCATCAACAGCCTGCAGGGCGTCTTCATCTTCCTGGTGTACTGTCTCCTCAGCCAGCAGGTACCACTGTCCACCTCCCACCCAGGACTCTTTCCACTCTCACTCCACTCAGTGAGGTGACTCAGCACCCCTCTCAGTGAGCTGACTCAGAGCATGCTTTGTCTCTGCAGGTCCGGGAGCAATACAGGAAATGCTGGAAGGAGGTCAGGAAAATCAAAACACAGTCTGAGCAATACACCCTCTCCAGCGGAATCCTGTCAGATACCCCTAAGCACAGTGTGGTAAGGTCATGCATTGCTCCCAGAGCACTTCACTAACTGATAGAGTACCTCATACCAATACAGTGGATAACCTGGGTATATAGCAGGTGATGGCTAGGATAGCTCCCATTGAATTTAATCTTTGATTCCTTAACCTTTAGCAATGGTATCACTTAGAAAATATATATTTTTCTCTTACTCCCGAGGAACAGTGTAAATCTTGACTTTTACACATTACCACTCTTATTGAATTCCTGCCCTGTGCCATGCATGGTTAGCTAAATAAGCAAGAATCAATGATCTGAAGCAGGGATGCCCGTTGCACTCAGACCCACATTATCTTACCCTTTATCCATGCCGATCCCGTAGTCACTCAGCACTATGCAAGAAAAAGGCAAAAATGGGGGAAATGATGTACATGTTTAAGAAATAAAAGGAAATAAGTGTTAGCTAGCGTTTTAGACTTAAGGAGGCTGCTTGATATGTTCGGCACCCTCCATCCTCTGTAAAACCAGGAAGGAAAAGCCATCATTGCATCAGATAATTCATAGCAATAATTACTAAGAACCACCAGTGGTTTAGATTTACCAAGTTCTTTAAAAAAACAATTTTAGACATGGAGAGTTCTTTTACTTACAGTTTCTCACCTCTTCTTCCATCTTCCATTAAACGCCTTGCATCTTCTTCCCCATTTAAAGGAGCCTACTATGGCCGCCTACTGTGGCTCAGTGGTTGAGTATTGACTCATGAACCAAGAGGTCCCTGGTTCAATTCCTGGTCAGGGCACACTCCTGAGTTGTGGGTTTGACCCCCAGCCA